GACACAGTCGTGACTTTGTTGTGACTATAACCTGTTTTTTTTATTAGTGCGCAAAATAGAATTTAAAAATCTTCATGAATTTTTTGAATACGGTGAAGTTGGATACTTCTAAAAACTACTATGAAACGCCTAGATAGAAACCAACACTGAAACCAAAAACCAAACCTTACCCGTCCAGAGCACCGAAGACGGTAGACACGCAGACCAGGAAATGCCACCAACGAACTCCAGCGAGCTGAAGAAAAACTGCAGACTAAGGAACCGAACACCAAATTTGGATCCAAAAAAGTTGACCACCGCCTTTAGCAACCAATAACTCCAGATTTTTTTTTTTTTAAAAAAAAAAACAGATCTATATCTACTTTCTAGGAAAAACATAACTAGAAAAACGAAGAACTATACAAAATAAAAATAACTCAAAGCAAACAAAAACAAAAGATGTTATGGCTGTAGAAGTCCATAAACATCGATCGTCAAATAGATCTGAGGAAAAAGGAACAAAGAAAACAAGAGAGAATAGAGAGAATTTTTTTAGAGAGAAAAAAAAAAGAAATTGCGGGAAACAATGAACACTAAGTATGCATTTTTTCAACATTGGTAAGCTTTCAATATCCGCAATTTCAACTATCTGATTTAAAAACCCTTAAATAGGCTCTCATCCCAATACATTACAAGCTTATAGATTGCATAAAATTAGCTATTATTCAAACACTAATTAATTTCATCACAGTTATAGTACATTTCCTCAAAGTCAATGTGATTCAAAATCCGATCAGAATACATTGTTTGATAAATGAAATGATCAAGTATTGCTTTCAATGTAGTTGAGAATATGAAATTTTCAAAATTTGAATCTTATTTGAATCATTTTTTTAAAAGTTTGTCATACTTCAAATATATAATACATTCATAATTTTCATTTAAATAATGGGTCATTATTATAAATAATTTAGCTAATTAAATAAAGAAGACAAATTAAACCTTGTGATACTGATAGTTCCATGCTTATTTTTTTTTTTTTTTGGTCAAATTGTTTTGTTTTCATTCATCTAAATCAAACATAATCCATACAAAAAGGTAAAGAGGTAATCATGTGAAAATGCTACCATAGCTAAACCAGCTGCAACACAAAATGCAGAAATAAGAAAAGTTATAAAGATAGATGGAGAAAAAGAGAATAACAAGGCCTATTACATCATGTAGAGAACCTGCAAACTCCTTCAGCTCCGTTCCCAACAAGGGAGCAATAGTTAGGATATTTGAGTCCAAAACCACTTGAAGCAAGGTAACACTTGGGGATAATGCATCATTGAGCGCCAAACAGAGAATAAGGACTTCTTGAAACAGCAGAATTAGAGATGATTAGGAGTTTTTACTGGGCTTGGACCTAAGCAAGGTGAGGTCCCAACAGCAGCCAGCAACAAGACATTAGAGGAAAACACTGAATTCTACTACAAAATGCTCAAAACTCTTGCATAATTTAGACTGTGCAAAACAACTTTTTCTATATAATGGAGAAAAAAAAGGATCGGACAGCTCCATAAAGGAGTAAATTTGACTGTAGTTTAACACACAAAGCCAAGATAAAAAGTATAAAGGATCGTTGCAAACTACCAACACTTTTGAAATCTTCACAAAGGTGAAACATATGAGATGCAGACAATCCTTAAACTGAGGTAAACAATCCTTATACTGAGATAAACAATCTTCACATAGAGGTAAACAAATCCTAAACAAAGGCAAGTTTCCAACCGAAGCCCTTAGTTCAAAGAAATTATAAGTTCGAAAAGAGATAATACCTTCATAGAACTCGAGAGGCATGACCGCAGATCCAGGTTTTGAAACTACCCGCGAGATTCTAAATCAGATGGATCTGGTGGGTCTGAAGGGTCTGGTGGAGATGTCACAAGGAGACCACCCCACACAAAGGCCAAGAGTCCTGGAGACAATTTTCTCGACAGAGAAACTGACAACTGCGACAGAGTGAGGGACAGGTTTGGGAACTCAATCCTCAGAAGCGCTACAAAGCCTTTCGATAACTCCATTGAAGATAGATCAGTTTTAACGACCGCCGCGAACACATCTATGGGTAGAGGAGTGATCGGAGACGGATCTGGGTCTGGATCCGGAGGAGAAAAGGGGTTAACACCAGCAAAGCCATGAAAGGAAGGAAGAAAGGAAGAGGAGGGAGAAAGAAGAAATTCTTGTCGGTAGGCGTGAGGCCTCACCGACGACGGCAGCACAAAAGGGAAACCCTAAATCGCCATTTCTGTCGCCAAGGGGAGAGAGGTATTTCTATATGTGTTCCATGCTTATTTCTAAATCTAAATTTTCAATATGATTGAAAAATTATTGAAGAATTCATCCTACACATACTAAATAAAAGGAACTATTTGGGGCTCCTTAAGCTATCTACCTCAGCTTTTCAAACTACTCTAAAAATATGACACATCAGCAAAAAATAATAATACAAATTCTCACTTTAGATTTTTTTGAAATACACATAAAGTAAATAAATAGAATCAAAATTAATATAGTTAAATACAAGAGTAAATAAAAATAAAATATTATTTTTTGAATCAATAAAATAAATATTATTTAAATCTATAGCATCAATATATACTCTTTTGTTTGTAATATAACAAATTAACAATAATGAAAATTTTCACTTTAGATTTTTTTGAAATACACATAAAATAAATAAATAGAACCATTAAATTAATATAGTTATTAGCAAAAACTAAATAAAACTATATATCATTTTAATCAATAAAATAAATATCATTTAAATCTGTAGCATTAATATATACTCATTTTTGTCACTAAAATTAATATAGTTACGAACAAAAGTAAATAAAATTAAAATATTATTTTTTGAATCAGTAAAATAAACATCATTTAAATTTATAGCATCAATATATACTTCTTTTGTTTGTAATATAACAATAATAAAAAATTTTACTTTATATCTTTTGAAATACACATAAAATAAATAAATAAAACCACTAAGTTAATATAGTTATTAGGAATAAGTAAATAAAACTAAATATCATTTTCGAAATCAGTAAAATAAATATCATTTAAATCTGTAGCATTAATATATACTCATTTTTGTAATATAGTGAATATATTGGACAAGAAATTGCTCTAAAAAACTTAAATAATAGTTAATAGAAACAAGATTACAAAATAATAATTTCTAAAATAAAATTTAAAACATTTACAAATTATAAAAATCTAAAACATTCACCTTTTAGAAACATAAAGATTAAACATCATAGTACGTTAGATTTATGACAACCAACAAGACAACATAAATTATAGGAAGCTTTTCAAAGCATCTATCTATATGAAGATTTCGATCATCGTTACTATTTACATTGCAGAAAATGATAGACAAAAGAAGAATTTCATGCACTGATATTTATTCAATGTGTGTCTTAGTTGGCTTAAGGTAGTCAAGTTACTACAAGCGATACATGTCAGCGCATGAGTTAAACAGTTTATAAAAAAAAAATTAAGTTTTAGATGACAGTTAATTTTTTTATATATCAAGTTAGTAAATTTTTAAATTAAATAATAATGCATTTTTGAAAAAATAACATACACATTTTTATGTAGAAGAAAATGTCTAAAAAAATCTCTAATTATCCACATCAACAAAATTCCTTATAAACCCAACTTGAATGAAAAACTAATATAGTTTTTTTTACTGGGTTAAGAAACTCCTTTAAAAATAATAAAATATATATTATTAGTTTAATTATAAAGGTTCATCAAAATATATATGTGTAGTTTAAGAAAAAATGTTTAAGTTAAATTACAAGCAAATTTTTTTACATCTATTGAGTTTTGAGAAACTCAACATACTTTATTTAACATAATGAGTTAGTATGAAATTGTATTTTTATATGTATTACTTACCTTATTCATCTATATTTTTTATAGTTTATGTATACTTCATAGACCAAATCAAAATTGTATTTTATCAATATGATTGTGATTTTTTTATACTATGTAAATATTGTTTTTATTTATATAAATCATAGTTATTTTATAAATTTATAAGAGATTAGAACATTGAGTGTTGTTTGTATTTGAGATTGCTAATTAAATAAAAACACTATACGAACACAGTTGAAATAAAAATAAAAAAACTAAATTAATTGGAACAATAATAATCAAATTTAGTCAAAACAAAAAATAATTTTAATAATATTTTGAAAGTTAGTAGTGAATAACAGTGAGTTTATATACAAATATTAAGTTTTAGATTAACAGTTAATTTTAGCATATATCAAGTAGGTAATTTTTAAAATTATATCATGATACATTTTTTGAATACATTAAAATATTTTTGATGTATAATCATATCAAAACAATTTTAAAAATTAAATATTATATTTAAAATATTAACTTAATAATTTAACTTAGATAATAATTAAATATCTATATAAAAACAATCCGCGCGTAGCGCGGAAACATCTCTAGTATGATTGAAAAATTATTGAAGAATTCATCCTACACAATAAAACAAAAACAAGATAAAGACGTTAATAATGAGATTAACGTTTATTAGAACAAATGTACAAAAACAAGATAAAGACGTTAATAATGAGATTAACGTTTATTAGAACAAATGTAGCTCTTTTAAAAATGCTATCACCATCAAAAGTACGATTAAATAAAACTAGCATGAAGCATGAAATAGAGATACTAGACTTGAGCTTCTCGACTGCTTAAACTTGGGAGCTCTCCTCTAATGCGATGCTTCACGATTATTGTTATAAAGTTATGAACACCATGAATTTATGATCAAATGTTTTCCAGCTTGAGGTTTATTGTTTAAATTTAATCATTTACATATTTTTAGTGATTTATAGTTCAAATACTCAGAAAATTGATAGTCAACACTCAACATATGACAGCTATATACATACCTTGCAAAACTAATTAACCCTTTACATTGAAATCGCAACTTGCAACATCATGTTATTCACATCTCTGAACGTGCAACGATCGTTAAATATTAATTTGAAACATCAACGTTAATATTAATAAAATTGAGAAAACAAAACGAGCAAATACATAAAAACATTTGCACAATAGTCAATGTCCCAAAGAACATCGATCTAAACGCCTAATTACTTATTCAACATTTTTTATATAAAAAAAAAAATTCGCTAAACGTTTCCATAGGGATGATGATGATGTTGATGCCCCGGATGATGTTGATGCCCCGTCATTGTATTTGTCGGAGGATAAGCAGCTGCTGGAGCTACAGAGGTAACTCCGGGAGGATTATGCCCGTAACCATGTCCCGCTGCTGGAGCTACAGAGGTAACTCCGGGAGGATTATGCCCGTAACCATGCCCCATAACCGGCGTCAGAGCCGGCACAGGCACGTGACCTTGAGAGACGTGGTAGTGAGATTGCTTAGCCATAAGCTTGTCTTCGGCATGAGCCGCTTTAGACATGTGCATATCCATCTTAGCCTCTGCTTCCTTTGCCTTTCTACGCTCGTGTGCTATCTCTCTCTCCTCTTTCGTCCTTGCCATCACCTTTTCCGCCTGTAATCAAACAAATTCATAATTTAATCATATTTTTTTCCTTTTCTGCATTATTATTATACACATAACATGTTAATTAAAATAATTATAATAGAATAATTAGAATTTGTTTACAACCTTCTCATCGGCTTTTGCTTGACATATAACCATCTTCTCCTTGGCTGTACTAGCCATATCGCTTATCTTCTGTTTCGCCGATTGCATTGTTCTTTCTTTTGTCTTTTTAGTGTCTTTCTGTTTCTCTAATAATTGGTTATATTGTTTCATTTATACAAAATGAAATGAATAGCCTCGTCGGTCCAAAATTGGTCGTATTAATGCCACGTATTGTTAATATCGACACGTGTCTTGGTTTATTCTCAGCTATCTAATTAACTGCCACGTAGAGTTGCTTCCGTTGGATATTGATGCAATGATTAAAGAACGCACCGCCTCTACCGGTCTGTCCTTACCGTTTAATTTCAACCGATCGGAAGTTTTGGTTTGAATGTTCATAAACCGGACATAATCCGGTTCATGATTTTATGATCTCGGTGCAGCGAATGGTTGGTCTTCTTCCCCGTGTCAAAGAAAACACTTATCTTCTTCAACCTTTCGACGTCAAAGCCGCGAAAAAAAAAATCAAAATCCCCAAAGAAGATGGCTCTGGTTTTACCCTGTACATTTTGTACTTCGCTTCAGCTTCAGCGACAAAAGTTTCCGATCAATCGCCGATATTCTCCGAATTTCCGTCGAGGAGCTACGACGTGTGAGTTCCGAATTCCAGTAGAAGTTTCCAGTCCAACAGATAGAGGATCGTTGGCTGTTCCTTCTCACAAGGTCACTGTACACGATCGACAACGAGGAATAGTTCACGAGTTTGAGGTTCCAGAGGTGAGTTTTTCGTTGATTTTGATTCGTATTGTAGAACTTTGAATTTCGGGGAAATGTTGTCGTTCTTTGCTGCGTTTTGCTGATTCGGGACACAATCATGATGAGATATGAGATTATGATGATTATTCCTTCGTTATATCAGCTTAGAAGCTGCGATTAGGTAGTGTTATTATTCCTTCGTTATATCAGCTTAGAAGCTGCGATTAGGTAGTGTTCTACAACAAGTGCAATGTATGATTTGGATTGTTGAGATTCAAGTATCTTCTGAGTCTGATTGCTGGATTCCTTGTTATGAGTTGAGCTGTTTCATCTGGATAATCTATTCGAGATTCTAATTAGGTTCAGTTTGCTCTCTTTCTTCCATTTTCGATGTTGGAATGCTCTCTGCATGTGGCTCTCTTGGTGTAGCTATTCTTTCCTCTGGACATTGTATAGTGTGATTGACATGATCAACCTTTTTTTTCATTTTTTGTTGATTTATTGAGAATCTATTTTGAAATGCAGGATCAGTACATATTGCACTCAGCTGAATCTCAGAACATTACTCTTCCATTTGCTTGCAGGCATGGTACTATTCTCTTGACCCGGTTTCAGTTTATTTTCCAAAGACCTTCTAATATGTGTATATGTTTCTTTGTCTTCTACATGTATCCCATACTTGAAATGATCGAAAAGGTGATGTAGATGACTAGGATAAAGCCTATCACTAGTGGAGTTATGTTTTAGCCATGTATGCATGAAGAAGATAGTCTGAATGTTCCTGTGAGATTTTACATGTTAAAAATTACGCTTTGGATAAGCGCTCTAACTTAGGTATGTGTCTCGCCTACAGTTTGCTTTTTACCAATCTTGAATATCCCTTCTTGTGTTGGCAGGTTGCTGTACTAGCTGTGCCGTACGTGTAAAATCTGGAGAGCTGAGGCAGCCACAAGCATTGGGAATATCAGCTGAACTAAAGTCCCAGGTTTGTGATGTGGTCAAAACAAAAGTAGACTTGAAACTACAGAGACAAGCTGTGATGATAATAGTCAGTGTCTTCGAAATACTAGAACCAACTCTTATTGAATCAACGAAAACTTTGCGCAGCTTTTAACTACTCACACTGTTGTGATGTTGCACTCTCCTAAGTGAATTTCATCGCTTGACACTATACGATGTCAAATACTTTATCCAACTATCAGCGTTTAGAGAATGTGTAATGTATTTTTGTGAATGTCAACCGTAATGCTGCATTCTCCTAAGTGGATCTCATCGCTTGACATTAAAGAGTGTTAACTTATCTACTAGAGTTTAGAGAATGTGTAACGTATTTTAGGTGGAACAACTTCTTCTTCTTCTTAGAAATATTCAGTTATCTTGAAGCATAGGTTTGAAACACTAGGTGTGCTAATCCTTTACAAGGCATAGTGATCTAATCTTGGTTCTTAGATGTTGATTTCAAGTTTATCTTGCATTTAAATTATGTAGCGTATTCATGCAGGGGTATGCACTTCTTTGTGTGGGTTTCCCTACATCTGACCTTGAAGTAGAAACACAAGACGAGGACGAGGTAACTTATTATGAAAACTACTCTTCCGAAATTCCCAAGAACTGCTGTAACAATACAGTGTCTTCTCTAATTTCATTCTAGTGATACATTTTAAAATTGTGTGGAATACGTAGGTCTACTGGCTACAGTTTGGAAGATACTTTGCTCGTGGACCAATTGTAAGTTCTCTTCGATATATTGTAATCCGCTAAGAAGCTAATGGTGAAGTATATCAATAGATACAAAATCTCTTAAGAAACGTATGGATTTGTTTATTTTACTTGGAGGATGTTCACTATCAATAGTTTTGATGTTTACAAAGAGATCAAACTTAATATCACTACTAAGATTCAAAATGATTTGAAATCTCTTTTAGTCTTTGTTGGCATTGAGCATTTTAACAGTTTTATCGATGTTACACTGCAGGAAAGAGACGATTACGCCCTTGAACTCGCCATGGGAGACGAGTAAACAAAGTTCAAGCAAAGTCGTGAGCTTTTTGTATTAGAAGTGACTAGTGAGTGTTTTCTTTCACTGTTAATTACCTTCTTAGTTCCTGAATCTTGTGGTGCATCCTCGTAAATCTAAAACCTCATAAATATTACATGAAAACTTCCCAACAATTCAACATTTTATTGAAAACTTGTTAACCTTTTTTTTAACCATAAACTCCAAAATTTCCCCAACATAGTTTTTGTTTGCATATCTATAGCCTCTAGTGAAGGAACTGTAACCTCTGGTTCTAACTATTTTGGATGTCGGAATACATAATTACATAATTTGTGGTCCATGTGTGAGAGGGAAAGGTAATGCTCTTGTGGCCGTAAGAGAGATAATGATATGAGACAATAATGTGTGTGGGCATATGAAATGCTTTTGGTATATGATGCTTTGTTCCTTTGTTATCTACCAAACTTTATTCTCATTTCTTATAAAAATAATATATATTTATTTACTAGTAGAAGTCTAGAAGAACCTTGTGCATAGATTAGAGTATATACCTCTTTGATATTTTCTAAGAATGGGCCTCTTTTGACATAACGACACTAGGTTGAAAACCGATTGAAAAACACTCACCAACCCTTTTCCATAATGTTATGTTACTGTCTCAGTCTCTTTGTGCAAAAACCCGAAATTTTTTGGTCTGTATTGTCAGATTTTCAGTGGACTATTCCATGTTCCATGTACTTTTTGAGTGTGATATATTTTCCGTCCAGTGTAATTTTGGGTCCGATTGTTCTTTTTTTCTTTTTCTTTCTTTTGGGTTTGTTTGGCTTTTGTTTATCTTCAACAATAAATACATTTTTAATTGTATTTTGTGTGTGTGTAGAATCGAGCTTAACTACATTGTCTTTGATAAAATAGACTAGACATTCTCGTTTAATATTATGTTTATGATTTTAGTGATAATAGTATATTCTAAAAGAGACTAGACATTCTAGTTTAATATTATGTTTATGATTTTAGTGATAATAGTATATTCTACTTTTTTTATCAACAACCAATTAAAAAGAAAGAGTTAAGCTCGTTTTGTAAGGATATTCTTACAATATTTATATACTTTTGTTTGTTTAAAAAATATCAATAAACGACATGAATATTGAAAATGCTGAAGTTGTTAGGTTTTCGTGTGTTTTTTTGTCAACATAAGCAATTTTTAACATGCTTATTCTCCAATAATGAAAAAACAATTTACAAAATGCAATAGCAAAACCAAACCAAGTCGGCAAAATAATCCAATGTAACAACAGTAAATCAGAGAGCTAAAAGATAAACAAACATGATACTTAAATCACCAAAAACATAGAGAAGGAGAGGATTTCTAAACTCGACATTAGTAATGTTAAAAAATGAGATGCAGTAAAGACATTTAGAAAACATAGCTAGTGAAACTGCAACACAAAGTTAGGATAAAATAAAGTTAGATGTAGCTTTTACGCTATAATTTTTGTATAAGTATGTTTGTATTAACTTTCTAACAGTCACAATTTTGTTATTTGTTAAATTGTTATAAAGTTCGTTATGATTTTTTTTTGTTTTTTTGTTTTAAGTTCGTTTTGATGCGCCATGTTTTTGACATCTTTTATTCTGGATGAGTGTGGACCAAAAGATGGGTATGACAAATTACAGTATTTGATACGTTAAGAGATTTTAGTAATTTTGGTAAGTGATGTGACATGAGATGCATTATAGATTTGGCTGACCAAATTCTTGAACTTATTTTTTTTTTACCATATTGACTCTTAACAGCAATTGTGGTTAATACACAATAATTGAGTATTCGCATTGAATTACAAAATAAACAAAAAAAGTTCCAAGTACCATATCTATCTCAAAGTCACGTGGTTCTTCTTCTAGACAGGCAAGAAAACGAGATTAATCTTATCCTTCAAAGAACAAATGATGCAAAACGATCTTATATAAATCTTGCCGTGATCCAAAGAACTGATAAGACTTTCGAAAGACACATAAACCAACCAGAGACTATTCGTAGGCGAACCCGTGAAGTTACACCCCAATTATCCAGAGACATATTAGCATGGAATTATTCAGACTTTAGTCAAATCGAGAGATAAAGCCGTTTTGGTCTGTGTCTTATTTATAACGTATCCATCGTACTATTTTTTTTCTTTGGAGTTGGTACGAGATTTGTAATATTGATATGTCTCCATGATAGCTGAATTATAACCAAACCATATAGTTTATATAGTAATGTACGTTGAAATTTTTTTTTTTACACAATTGTCATTTGAAAAATTTAGACGTGGATTGAAATGTGAATTTTAATATGAATATATATATGTATATATGTATATAATTTGTAACTTTCATATTTAAATTTTAGCATATGAGATTTCTCGGAGCCACGTGCATTAATCAACAAAAGCAATCAAATAATTGGCACTACAATTCTTTCTGTACATGTTATATATATATATATATATTCTTTATTTACATAAAGTTCACATTTCTATTTTTAGATTCTCTGACTTGAGTACGGTTTGCTAAACAATTTTACAAAAGTTTCCCCAAAAAGTATCACTAGTGATTATATATTAGTCAGATCAACAAAAAAAATGAATGTGTTTACGTGCAATTTGAATCTTAACGTTTAAAACATAAAAATAAACAAAGAGTCTAGTTTTTATTTATAAATCACTCTTACAAACTGGTAGATTGAATTTTTCTCAGAAAGAAAAAAAACATCCAAACAGAAACATTGAAGAGAGGCGACTCTATAAAAACAGACAATGAGAACCAAAGTCAGCAATTTCGACAAATTTCACATTTAAATATTGAAACTTATAACGTCTCGCCGCCGGATTCTTGATCGAGAGGATGATTGAAGAGAGAGAGAGAGAGAGAGAGAGAGAGAGAGAGAGAGAGAGAGAGAGAGAGAAAATATGTGATTCTTCCTCTATATTGCTGATAACTTAATACATAGACGATGAATTGATAGATAGGTCAACTTTTTTTAGTTGTTAAACTTCAGATCAGTCGTGCTCGTCGAACCCTACAAGCATTGTCAAAACCAAAAACAAAACATTATACAGTATGAAGAATCATCCAAATGCTAAAAATAAAAATAAACATTTTATTAAGTATCAGAATTAAAGATTAAACTCGATTTTTGTTCCTTTTGTTTGGATTAAGAGCGCTAACCCCAACAGATGTGATAAAGCTACAAACGGCACACTTGACTGATCTTGCTCCATATTGATACATTAGTAGCATCCTGCAGCTTCCACAATTCACATGCGCTACCTGATTCGCTGATTCCACATGCAAGACACTAGAGTTATTTCATATGGATAACAAATTGATCTAAACCAAATTGAAACAAAAATAAAATAAAATTATGTCGAATTGAATCTTAATTGTGTGTAGTTTGGTTTTATTTATATATACAAAACCCAAAACTAAACTAGACCACAAAATAACTAAAAAACAAAACTGAAACTGAATTTATTTATTTAATATCCAAAACCGAAACTAAATTAAATTCACAAAACGACTAATACTTGTAGTTTAGTGGTTTGTAATAGTGTTGTCACTGTGTTACCAGCCGCATTTAAACCTGACTCACGCATGTTATTAAAATAAACAAAAAAATCAGACCCACGAAATAATAAACAAGATGACACTTAAGTATCTTTTCTTAAAAAAAACTCCAAATAAAAACATGTAATATGTATCGGACCAAAATCCAATTCGTATTGGTTTTGGTTTCTTTTTTGTTTCCTATATATATCGTAACCAAAAACACAAAATCAACCCGAAATCGGATTAATATAACATCATCAACATACATGCATGTGTGTGTAAATGTATAATAACTAATGCAAACCTTCGAGGGCGAGATTAACGGTGTGACAACAAGAACATTGAACACTTGTAGCTCCACGAATGTACATTAGAAGTGTATGGCATCCTCCACACACCAACTGAGCCATCTCTGTCCCTGCATTGCGCAATTAATACAAACTCATCTTTACTCTAATCAATCGGATTATCAATTAATCAACTTCTGTTTTGACTTTGACGGATGTTTACCCGGGGGAGGGACGGCCGTGACGGCGTTACAGACGGCGCAACAGACAGAGGTTGCTCCAACTGGATACATCAGAAGGTTTCTGCAACCTGAACACACTAACTGGCTCTGTCCACTTGTACTACCTACGAATCTCAAAATTGTTAAAAAAAAATTGCAATAAATATAAAATAGATTTGATGGATTAACGTTGAACCCATGTGGACTAAACAAATGGTTTTTTAGGACAAAAAGGGAAGCAACTTGTTTTTCTTGTCATTTTCAAGATAAATGATTTGGGATAATTGTGATGAAAAAAACTCATGAGGACTATGCAAATGGGAATCTGGAAATATTGAATCGTTGGACGGATCCATGAACAATAAAAATATGGGTTTTGTAAAGAAGGGGAAATTTAAGAAGAGTTTTGTGTAAAAATCCAAACTTTCAATGGTTTAGATTCTGAAAACAGAGAACTTTTCTAGATTATAAGGTTTTGTTATTTAAAAAGAGATTATACCATTTGACGGCGGAGGAGTGTACGACGGCGTCAGCGCCGGCGCCGTAGGTGTTGGATATGGTGCAAGAGGGACTGGCATTATTCACTCAAAAAATAATTGCAAAAAAAAAGATAAATCTCTGATGTCTCTCTCTCTCTCTCGCTATCTCTCTATATATATGCATATAATGGTTACTCCTTGTTGATGTTTTTAATGCCTCAGAAGAAGAAGACACATCGTGTTCTTCACTTCTTCTTCTCCCATTTCCTCAATTTCATCATCTTTACACGGAAAAAATTATACAAAAAAAGGAAAAAAACTTAATTTTTTATTAAGGAAAGAAATCCGACAGAAAATTATAAAAATAAAAAAAAAGGAAAAACATTCAATGCTTTGGATAAAAAAAAATTCAATGCTTGAAACTTAAGAAACATGTGAACACTAACTTTGGGGTCACACCATCACCATGAAGCTCTTTGACTAGTAACTAATTGTGGAATCTCGTTTTGATATATTTTTGCGGTTACATAACGTATGTGTGTGTATATCTATTGTGTAAGTATTTGGGGAATTCGGAAAGAGGAATGTGAGTTGTGAATACTTTAGAAGACTGTATTATTATGGAGTGGGGCAAACACACACCATCTCTTGCAACTTGCCTTTTATCATTTAAATAGATATAAAATATACATTAAAAATGAAAAAACAATAAAATACCAAGAAAAAAAAATCTTACTATTGGTAAAGAAGAGAAAAAATATTGACAAAAGGAATTTATTAAGAAGAAATCTTTGGATTTTTATAACAGCTAAGAAAAAACGAAACAATGATATATCAAAATCGAGAAACAAATCTTATTTTTCCTTATCAAAAAAAATTATGATGATTATTTATTTCGGATAAAGATAGTTTACAAATGTATCACAAATATATAGTTTTAAAATAATAAAAATATTTAAATACTATTTTCATCACGCTTACTCCAAATATCAATAAACTTTAGAATTTTTTTCTAAAAAAAACTTTAAAAAATTATTTGTAACTATTGGTCGGCTTTTCACCGACCGATAAAAATTTACTTAAAGATAATAAAAAAACAAAAATTTCCAGCACTTCATTACAACACTCGCGGATAAAGTAATCTATAGCAAAAAGTTTATAAAATATTATTTTTACTACGTTTATTCCAAATACCAATAATGTTTGATAACGTTTTCTAAAATTTTTTAGGAAGAAATATCGTTAAAGGTTGGTCGGCTTTTCACCAACCGATGAGAATTTACTCAATGATAATAAAACAAAAAATTCTAATTTTCTATGTTGCCTCATTAGATCCCTCACACATTCACATAAAAGTATTTGAAAAAAATATATCTTAAATCTTTAATTATAAATAATATAATTTTTTAAATATTATTTATATCAGAATTATTTCAAATATCACTAAAATTTGGAATTTTTTTCTAAAACCTCTAAAACAGATCAGTTTTTCACCAACCGATAAGAATTTACTCAATAATAATAAAAAATTCTTTAATTTTTTTATCACCTTGTTGCAAATTCCGATGAAATAGTTCTAAATCATAGAAAAGATTTGAATATCATGTTTATCACTTTATTTCAAATATCACTAAATTAGTCAAATTGATTATATTAATAACATGTACCTTTCACCGACCAATGAGAATTTACTAAATAATGGAAAAAAAAATATCCAATTCCTCTACCACCTCCTTACATCTCTCGCTCTAGAACAGTTTTTGCCTCGGGTAAACTTTTAGGAAGTGCCTCCGCTAGTCTGATATATCATTCATCAAGGCAATAGCATGTCCTCATGTACTCCAACGTTGAAGTTGAATGTCAGGTTCCACTCTCTTTGCATAATATGGAAGATTTCCCACTAGCACAAGATAGAGAATGACATTAGCTTTTATCTCCAAGTGTTTTGAAGTTAATCTAATAGTTCAATCAAAATTATGCCCAAAATATTGAAATTAGTTTGTTTGGCACCAACAGAGCAAGCAAGAGGCTAAAAAATGTTTAACCATGCACTTATCTAGCTCTGGGTATTTTGGAACGGTTTTTTCGTTTTGTTTATTACATGTTCTGAATGTTCCATTTCATTCTCAAATAATTACCTATTTATTTTATTCAAACGGATATGAGAAGAGAATGGATATGAAATAGAGTATTCGAATTACCCATTTTTTTGTCTAACAACCTCATCTCCTAGAACAAGTCAATGATTCAAACCGGAGGAACTGAGTTTACATAGTCACTATGATAAAGATAATCCTAAGCACTTTATGCCAACTTGTCTTCCTTTTTATTTTGTGCACTTGGGATATGCGAGATAGAGAAAAACTCAAATTGTTTCATACTTCTCTCATATTTCTTTAGGTGTAGTGAGAAGACTGTCCATTCCTCTGATTTAGACGTCATCTTCACCAATTCAGAATAATATGTGGCTAAAGCCATCGCAAATATTTCAGTGTTGAGGATGCATTGCATGACCCACATCAAAGCCTCCAGTTATGCCTGTAAAGAAGAGATACTTCGTCGTATATTCTCAGCACCCATTAGAGTTCCATCTGTATCAACCCCCTCACAATACCATCCCAAACTAGCATTAGTTATCGTCACTTTTGGAGCCATGTGTTTGACATCATAAATCATTCGCATAAATGTTCTGTATTAATAGGCTTTAATGTTGTGGCTCCGCCATTATTCTGTCAGTATGAGCCATCTCTTATGTTGTTGCTTCTGCTATTGTAATCCTTAGCATTTCATGGGGATCCCGTTTGATGTATGAGGAAAGTCAATCATTCTTTACCTTTAAAATGTATACCATCATTTCACCGTCTCGAGAAAAATTCAAAAGACATATGCCATATCAGAGTATACATCATTCGTCAAAGTCTGTGCAGTGACATGTGGATCGCTGATAATGTCTATGCTTATAAAGCAGGTGGATATTCAAATAAGATATAATTTATGTTTTTCTTTTCTACTTTAAATCTTCTACATTAAGGATCACAATTAATATTTCTGCTATGTAAGCGGTACATTATCGGTATACAAATAAGACCTGCCATATAAATTACTTCCTTTTTGGTGGGCATTTAATCTTTCACGCTTGGGCGTACGATTTACTTATGCCAACGCCAAATTGGAGAGGAGTATCATCATTCCATGAAATTCTTGTGTAATAGTCTAACCAAACTTAGGGGGGTGTAATATACCATATTCATTGTGTTCGAACTTTACAAAATTGAGAAGATATACAATTTCATTAGTTTCAATACACCCCCTTCCCCCCCCTATATCTTCTCGATTTTGTAAAGTTTCGAACACAATGAATATGGTATATTTTTCTTGGTCTTGGAATGCCAATAATTAATGGTATGTCTTCTGAGACAAGTAATTGTTCAAAGTAGATAAATTTCATGTGGGTGTTATAAGATCAATCAACTAATTAGCTTTTAGTTTGGGATAGCAGTTCTATACTTTGCATAATGCTAATCTAAGTTAATTACTCATTTAATAATTAAAAATATATCTAATATTATAAAATTTGAATTTTTCCGATTTTTCTCATAATTACCTGAAATATCCATTTTCAAGTTGCTTTTTTACCCAAATTATGAAGAATTTGGGAAGAAATTACAGCTAAAGATTTTTTTCTAATTCGTCATGTTATCCAAATTTGTTATACTATTTTTTATTAGAATCTCATTTCCGTCCTATGCTTGTAAATTCTTATTCTAAATCACGAAATGTTTAAGACATCGATCAATCACTTGTCTTTAAAGTTTCAGAGAAAAAAATGATCGACTGACTATTTGATCAAACAGTAATCCATGGAAAAATGAAAAATTTCTAATGTTTATCAATTTTTTCCAAATTCTATGAAATTCGTCCAAGTAGCCTCAAGAATAAAGAATCTATAAATACATCAAAAGAAGTACAAAAATAAAAGACAATTTATAGAAATAGCCACCAAAAATCTCTTAGTTCTTAGTTCTTTATTTCATTGCTTTTGTTACTTTGCTTGTTTGAGAAAAATTTCATCCCTCATTCAACACAAAGAGTTGTTTTCTAAACTTTATTCTATTTCAACAAATCAAGATGTTTTTATTTTATTTCGCTATTAATCTTCTTGTCATGATTGAGTAATTCTATTATTGGGAATAAAAATTTGTAAAATAGATACATTCATGGTTTAGTAATTTGTTTTCATTTCTATAATGACGTTTCGCTAGGTTGCATTAGTGCATGATATTAACTTTAAAAAAAAGTTTAAGACAGATTGTTTAGTCTACTTTTTAATATTAAAATTATACTTTAATTGATTACAAACTTAAAACTTACCGTTACATAATTTCTTGTTGAAATGATTATATATTGCCATATTGGAAGTTTTCTTTTTGTCGGCATATATTGAAAGTTCAACGTTTACTACATGACATTATGATATGTTACGTTACTTGTTATTAATATAATAAACTCGTTCAAAAATAAAATAAAATAATCTATCTATAATAACAATTTGAATAAATGCCACTTGCACTTTAGAAAATTGTGTCATTTCAAAATTTATGGTTGAGTCTTTTCATTATAAATTATCTGCTTTTTCATTATAAATGGTTGTGTTTCTTCATCACAACCGTTATTTGTGTTTTTTCGAAACTATTTATACCATTCAAAACCACAGAAAAAAAAAATCATTTGGGTCTGACTTTTACTTTCTTACTATAGTGGGTTTATTATTACAATAAACTGTAAAATAATAAAAGTTTTTTTTTATGTCAAAATTCTATGAAATAGAATCTAATAATTCAAGGGTTGTGTTTTGATAGACTATTTGCATTTTGATAAGTTATATGGTTTCAAAATTTGTGGTTATATATTTTTAATATGAATGATTATATATTTTTATTAGAGATAATTGCGCTTTTTCATTATTAATGGTTGCATTTTTTCATCACATATAATTTGTGTCTTTTCAAATTATCTATACTATTCAAACCATATAAAAAAAAATCACTTGATAATGATTTTTACTTTTTTGTTCTAATTGTCCATCATAAAAAAAATGTTATCCAACTGACTAACTATAAATAAAAGAAAGAAATAGTATTTTTTAACATATAATAGTTTTCCAACAATGCTAATAAAGAATCACGATCAAATCAGATGATGATCGTGGAGGAGGGGGGCATCTTACAACACTCAGATAAGTTTTGTATTTTCATTATATTTTTTTTCATAACTGTTATTAGTATTTGTGTTCTTTTATTATATTTAATTATGCTTTTTTATAATTACTAATTTTTACAAAAGTTGCATTTTGAAATTGAATAAATATCAATTATGGTTGTATTTTTTATTATAATTTTTTTAACAACCATAATTAAATTTCATGTTTTTTTAATATTTATTAGATAAATTTTATTTATAACCGCTTATTTTACTTATTTTATGAAATTATATTTTTTACTATTTATGTCCTTTCAACTTTATATATATATATATATATATATATAAATTTGATCATTTTTATTATTTCTTTTTTATATATATGTTTAGCAAATAAATTATTAAATTAAATTGAATGAAGTTTATTATTACTTTGTCGGTCTTCATCCCGAGCTTAATCCCAGAAG